CTAATGTGATGCTATTGAAAATCAGCATTCACGGCGTCGACTCCGCACTAACGCGCCTAGTTACACTCATTGATTTCACTCGGAACAATTTACATGTCACTGAAAGTGATAACTCGTTTTGACAACGTTATCACACAGACTCATCAACGTTTCATGATCGTTCCGCAATAATGGCAATTGTATTATAATGCGGGTCCGGCTCTCGGCTCTACCGTAGTGCCACTAAAACGTTTATTTCGCTGAATAAGTAGGCAGTAAGTAGGTATGCACAGAGCTTGTCCGGACACTCGTAAAGTGTTTTTGTAGCCATAAATCCTGCCGCCTAAGATCCTTGTCTTCGAGCCAAGGTCTGCAAACTCATTCACAAGATCAAGTGGCAAAAAACTGGAGCAATGAACTGGGAGTCACGTACCATTCTCATCAACTCCCAAAGCACGTAGTGGCGTCTAAACTACCGCTCATTGTCAATATTGGAGTGCTGTTCCGAGCCACTGGCAAAATCAATAGAAGCATTATCGGTTATTAGACGTATGATTGCTAGAAATTGTTTTATGAGTTAATGAATAACAAACAATGCACTTGAATTAAGTGCACTCTGTAGACAATAGACAGCATACATACTCAAATTTGCTAGAAGAAGGCTTTAATGCAATAGCGTGTTTATACGGAATTTCATCAAGTCGGAGAAGCTTCATTATACACCTTAAGAAATTAACCCAAGCTCATTAAAGACAAATAAGACGACTGCTCAACAATTAAAGGAATTAAAACTTTAATCAAGCCCTAGGGAAATGCCAGCGAAGTGTACGCTTTTATAGTCGACAGGCAATGCAAATTAAATAATCGATATGAATTGCAATTGAGTCGGCAACCTCGAATGTCTGAGTAATGGTCGTTGAAACTGAACAGTTGTTCACACACACAAAGTGCAAGGCTACCAAGTGCATCGCCGATAAACCGGAGATGAAAGCGACTGTTTATTTGATTTTGTGCCGGTACGTGCAAGCATATTAACTAAGCTTCGGCCATCGACCCCTCCAGCTCCATCATTTCTTAAGCTCATAAAACTGCCGCAAGTTTGATGTTCGCACCATGTTACTGTAAGTTCGTAAGGTCAGACTATAATTAACTTTGTCCGAATTCCTGTTTATTGGCAGGTAAAGTTTGATGGATACAGTTTAATTAGCCATCACATCAGTAGGAGGCAGCCTTACAACTTCGTCTAAAGGACGTTGTCCCACCAAGTTCATGTTATTAAAGCAAATAGATATTCTGCACCGTAGCGACGACGCAATCATTAAACAATAAATCTCGCTTTGCGTCTAACACAGAACTCACGCGTCATATTCACAAAATGGAAACTCTAAATTATGTATGAAAATTTAAATTTGATTCTGTATGGAATATTAAGTAGATAAGTAAGCAGCTCAATGGTTTTATAATGCCATTGGTTTCCTTTAAGGTTGTTAACCATTACATCATCGGCTTCGTCCTCGGTAGATGATGTTTTAACGATCTCTGTGTTGCGACCTTGACCGATGAAGTCTTAAGTTACTAAATATATGAGAAAGGATGCAGTAAGTAACAGATTGCACTACGATAGATATTTGTTAGGTTGTTAGTCTCGATGGTATACGCCACTTTTGTCTAGGCGGTCACAGAATGCCGGTTTCGCAATCGAACGGCCGCCCGGCCGGCAACCCATCAAACATTGTCGGATTACGTTTATGGACCATTTGTATGGGATCTGCTACGGTTAATGATTTTCGGTCGTTCCTCCATCTCTTATGCAATGCTATTTTGAGCACTGATATTTAAATACCATTTGTTTTTTATTTAATTGTGAATATTATATTCACAATTCACATGTTAAGAAATATATTCTGAAGGTCATAACATAATTTTATAATTATTTAAAGTTAGTAGTCTTGCGGACGTTAATGTCTCTGTGATGATAAATTCAAGGGTAAAAGTGCGAACCCTACAGCTATTATTACGGCACACCGGTCCCCTATTAAATTACAAGCACCCCATGTTCTTGACACAATAGCTACGGGCAACAACATTTTGCTATAAACTTCGAAATTCTAATTTTCATTCATTCTGAATATTTGAACATGTTTTATTTTGAACTTTACGTTATATTTGTTGTTATCAGTAGAAACAACCCGGTGACATTCTCACATGGCTGTTATCTATGTTATTAAACTAGCTGAGTTCATGCGCTGCAAGCATGCTTCAAAGCATTTTGTACTTTCATATCCTCACCGTTTATTTTCCTCATGCCGGCCCTAGACCTTTAACTGCACGGCCAAAATCCTGCCCTCGTTATCGGCAACAACAAAACACACATACGAAACACTGACAAGAACTCCACAATGCACACTTATAAACATTCGTAACTATCTCCAATTATGTTATGCTAACAACATTGTAGATAACTTCAATACACTACTTTGATTACTTGATAAGGAAGAAAACACATAAATTGTTTATCGCGATGCGATCTACACCCACGCAAACATGTTGCGACGCGCGTCAACGCCGCGTGACTGCAGGCGTGTCGCCGGTTGACACTTTGGCGCCACTGATGTCGGCAAGAGTATGAACTACCGTTAGTAATATAAGCCATTAAGAGATGGCGCTGTACTCAAACATCCGGGAAATGCACTATGTTTACCTACGATTGGCATAGAATTTTCATACAACACTAATAACTTAAAATAGTAAACAAACACATGTTCACTTAATTAAAAAGCATTTATTTAGATCTGAAGTATAACTGTTTATGACCGTTATTAACAATTTATACCAATTATTTTTTATAATACGAATTATTTAAAAATAAATATTATATGTACTAATACTTTCAGATTAGGTTAAAACTTACCTTAGTGATATTTTGTAATATGTTCAGGACCAAAAAAACTGTCGATTCAATTCACTTCACTTTTACTATTGAATTCATACAATTTAACTCAAGAACTATAGGAAAACTGCAAGCCAATAACCAGTTCAGCTTATCCTGTTCTAAAATCTGCATTGAGAGAAATGCCGGTCGGTAGTCGTCTACCTAGAAAAGCACTGAAAGAACACTGTTCACTTCCATTTTAATTAATTACGGGGATTTCCACGACACAATAATAATAAATACACGAGTTGAACGCGGAACACCATGAATAGCGACCGATAACACTATCCATCACCCCATTATCCTACGCGACTTGAAGTTAGCTGCGAGCGAGCACGTCAAAATATACCATAAATAACATGGTATGTATTTGGGGTGCGCCACCCCATCCCCGCCCTTCGATCGTCTGTAAACAGAAGGTTCGGTTTCTTTTCGAATATTGAAAGTTCCAATTTTAAATTCTTCAAACCGATGCTAGCTTGGGCTCAGCTTACGTGAACTAGCGACTATCATTGAGCTATGGCATTAGCTGCAAGGCGTCGGGGCCGAGGGGAGGCATGTCGTATAAACTCACATTACAATACGTTAAATCGCCTCCAGCCCTCGCCGACTGCGGTCGTAACGCGACGGGAACTTCCCGGCGACATCCCGACTAGGCTCTCACCATACAGCCAATTAACTACAACTTTAATGACGCTTTTCCATTAAAGAACTTGGGTTCCTTTCCCTTAATAGTAGTAAAAGTCTTTGTGATAAGTATGAAGAGAATTTTAATTTTTAGGATAAATGAGCAGTTGGTTCCTGTCTTAAATTACAATATTCTATCAATATTATTTAGAAATATAAAATTTTTCAATATTCAAAAATCCAAATGGCTTGGAATTTTAATGCATGGTCGTAGGTCGTCTGTCATCTTTGATATAAATATCCATTCGTTACAGCCCGAAGGCAAAATGCGTTGAAAGGGAAAACCGACAAAGGAAGCCTTTTTAGGAACCCGGATAAGACGCGACGTGAAGAAAAAGAGAGCGACAATTTTTCCGGTTCATATCTTTCTGTACATTTCATTACTTCCGCTATGTATGGACGTAGATCTCGGGTGAAGTCGGAAGTATTCGGCAACGTTCGCCTGTCGTCGGGTAATTCCGGGAGACTAATCGATACGCGTTAGGCATGCTACAAACGTGCTACGTTACAACGTAGCTACTACGCGAGTCTACAACTTTGTAGCTTACGCTACGGTTGTGTTGTTGTTATCCAACTAAATGAAAAAGTCAGCGAACTTGACTCTATGAGTGGGTTTTCGCACCGTTCATCTTTTCGTGGTATTGCTCTGGATTGTTTTTGCAGTTAGCCAATGTCGCGACGCCGGTTGCACCAATGCAGATACATAAGTAATACATATTAGTCGAGCTATGATAGTTAACTCCGCTGAGAATTGAGTTCACGTTCCCTTTTAGTTATTACTAGTGTGAACAGCTGTCAATTGAATTATCCATTGAGTTGGTTCACTTTACAAAGATATTTGATAATAATCATCTAAAATTGTATTGATTTCGAAAACCTCAAAATTTTTGCAACACTAATTAAGTAACTTTAACTACAGTTTACAAACATAAAAGAAAAAGTTGAGTTCTATAAACTCTTTAAATTGTATTAAAGTAAAGTAAGTAACTTTTGATTTAAGTGCTTTATTATTAACGTGCCTCAATTTCATTTTTGAGCATCAAAATAGACTATTTAGCTATCAACGTAAAATAATAAACATAACAATATAACACTGATGATTTGATTAATCTAGATTTTTTAAATTATCTTTATTAGTTTTTGAAACCAAAATTATAGGCAAGTTACAACTACTGCCATCTATGACGCATTTCTAGTAAACGTTCAAACATCCGAGGCCGACATGTTTTTTGTCTATCATGTTTTTACTTCTAATTAATTAAATAAAATTAATATTAACTATATACAACTGAAAATATATACAACTTAAAATATTAATACAAATTAAATTATTAAATTTTACTTCTTGAATGAGGGAAACGCTAAAATATGAAATATTTATGATGATGAACATTTTCCGGCATGAAACGCAAAATTTTATGTCAAAACTGTCAAAGTCAAAAGACATTTTGCCACAGGTTTATTGGGCTCTCAGGCTCGAGTTTTGTTTTCTTTAGACAAAATTATGATCAGCTAAACCATGAACCGCGTATAAATAAGCAATGGAGAAAACTAGAGTGTTGTCGTAAGTGAATTATTTTTGGAACATTTCTATCTGTACATTAAATTCGTTGTTTTTTCCTCATTGCGGTGTACCTCTTCAAGAACATAAATAGTCTTGAAAAATATTGTTCCATTTTATTTTCGAATGATACAACCTTGTGAATGTTAAACAATATTTATAAAGAATTCCTTATAACGTTGGCATTCAGCCTCATTTTTCTCGAGTATCCTCATTTTATCTTAATCCTGTTTTTGAATCTTCAGTTTAGTCACAAAATGTAATTAATATCAAGTAGCTTTCCACAAATGCATGCTACTGCCTGAAACGGCCATGATAAGTTATCATACTAAAGTTATTAACACAATACTTATATTGTTTTTCTTCATACATAAAATAATGTAGATTTATCTGTAAGTATTATCTGTGACTACAATTTATTTAGTTTACATAAGCCGGTACACACTGTATTACTTGATAGGAACTTGTGACTTACTACATAAATAATTATTTTACAAAAGTAAAGTTTACAATATAAAATTTTTATTTAATAAGAGGCATTAATCATCCCATCCCATCTCTTTGCACTGCGATTTTATCTCTGTTTTGCAGAAACAACTTGGTTTTTTATTTACTTATTAACAACTAGCTACTTCCGTGCGGTTTCACACGCTCTGCTCAGTTCCTAGTGGTTGTAGTGTGATGTTTTATAGCTTATAGCCATCCTCGATAAATGCGCTATCCAACACAAAAAGAATTATTCAAATCAGACTTGTAGTTACAGAGATTAGCGCATTCAAACAAACAAAAAAACAAACTCTTCCGTTTTATATAATAGTATAAGATATTACACTATTTAATCTATAATGGAGTTACAGAGGTGAACATATACAATACATGTTGTACCCATTATGTTAAGAGCCCCATGTCTTTCTCCTAATTTTGTTTACATAAAAAAGGATATTCTTATTAGATACATTTTATTTTTCTGCTTCATCTGATGCTTCTAATTTGAGTTCTGCCAAAGTTAATAGGAGAAATATAAGATATAAAAAGTGCCTCTAGACCCGAAGACCCGAGTCAAAATCAACCATTTTTCCCCAACATGATGCCCTTCTAGACGTCAATGCAGACCTTATAGGTTTTGACGCCCACTAATAAACATCAACTGTTACCAAAAATATATTCTTATTACGTACATTATTTTATTTTCAGGGGAGCGGCTTTAGTAGCAAAAGGTATTACAAAAATAGAGGCATCCCTTCCTGAGATAGGGCTAAAAGATGTTGCACCCAACGGCTCTTGGCTTGAACAAAAACAAATACAGGCCGCCGTGGAGGCTCGGAAGTATTTAATTGAAGTTGAGAGGATTGAGAAATGGTATGTCACTTGATTTTATTAACTTTTTCGTATCATTGTAACTATTGTTTTTTATTGTTCTTGTTGAAGTTATATTTCTCTTGGTGCTTGTTTATACTCCCTAAACAATTCATTGGTTTTCTACAATTGATAGTTCCGCCATTGTGTTGTTTCGCCTAATCCAAGGCGGGAGAAGTCCTTGGATGATTATCCCCACCCAAAAAATAAATAAGAGACAGTAACACATACATAAGACAAGGTTCATATTATGTAAGTCAAAATAATGTTTAAATTGTCAACTAAAAATTATATTCCAAGAATGCACCAAAATAATACTTTATTGACATTAATATAGGTATCATAATTGAATGATTTATAAAATTCCAGTGGAGTTCTCAGTCATGCTATTTGGCGAGATGATTTGAAGCTTGCAGAAGTCACACAAAAGAGTGGTGGACATTGGCAGTACTTGGGTCATAATGTTGGCAAGACCTTATTTCTTAACCCTGAGGAAACATTGTTTTTAATGGAAACTGTAAGTGTTTATTTTTAACCAAAATAAATGGTATGGTATGGTGTGCATATTTGTGCGCGATTGTCTCGCAATTAGCTGAAAAGTCAAAGTCAAAATCTTTTATTTCAATTAAACCAGAAAGGCACTTTTGAACATCAACAAAAAAAAAATAAAAGTGAAGCTATTTGCTCATTCCAAGTTGTAGATTCCTATGGAGGAAAATGAGCAAGAAACTCCATAGGTTACTCTTTTTCAATCAGGTTCACAATACAATTCTCCATAGTTTTGTTTTTTAGATTCTGAACCAATTTTGTTTCGATTTTCAGAAAAATATTTGTTACACTTGAGAGAAGTTGATTTAATTCATAAGCTATTGGTAAATAATATCTAATTTAAAACATAACATCACACCTTTTATCCCCGAATGGCTAGACAGAGGTGCACATGACGGCACTTAATGCCACTGTACAATGTAACACCCACTTTTTACTATTTATGTTATAAGTCCCATCCCAATAGGGGTGAGCCTATTGCCATATACCGGGCGCAATTCCAGACTCCGTTCTACTACTGAGATTTTTTTAAATCCACTAGAACTTTGCCTGACCTGGGAATCGAACCCGAGACCCCTGTCCGGCAGTCGCACTTGCGACTACTCGGCCAACGAGGCAGTAATTTAAAATTAGAAACAAAAACCACTGACAACTAATTTCTAGTTATTTGGCTGTCCAGCGATTTATTTTATTATGTAGAAATATTTGAGTATGACACTTAACTGTGTAGAAAAAATGTACACTATTACTATAATTCTCATTACAGAACTGTCTACAACTAAAGCACAATGAAGTCACGGTATCATTACAAAAAGCTTATTCTTTATTACTTGATTCATCAAATAGGATACAATATCAAGTGTATGCATCACTCAGTAGGGTAGGATACAAAGTATTTAAACATGTAGGACCTAAATGGAATGATGAGATAAAATCCACTTTCCAACAAATTCAAAAAGTAAGGGATCATGGTAATGTAACAGCCACTAGTCAACTTGAAGATTCACAATCTACCAATGATAGTGCTTCTGAAGATACTAGCCATTCTGAAAATAAAGAAATTAAAACAGCTGATGATGGCACCAAAAATGTTGATCCTATAATAATAAATAAAGAAATAGAACCTGGAAATGTAGAGAACTTAGAAAGTGATGAAAAGAGTTCAATTGTAGTTACAGAAAATGAGTCCCTTAACCCTAAAGATACTTGTATTGAAGCAACAGAAACTAAATTAATAGAGGAAGTTAATGGTGGCAAAGTAACTGATAAGGTTGTTGAAATAAGTGATACCGTAGTTAGTGAAGAAATTACTGAGAAATGTGAAGCTATAAGTGAAACATTAGTAGAAAAGGAATCTCCTAATAAAATGGATGTAGACGATAAAGACATAAAGACTGCTAATGTAAGGAATGAACATATAGAAGAGGTGTCATCTTCAAGTGATAAGAAAGCCGATATGGATGTCTCTACTGAACATGATACTGATGCAGATCCTGGTATGTAGTTTCTTATAACATATTCTATACTATTTTACCTAAGATACTTTCACAGCCAAAAAAGCAATTTTGAAATGATAATAGTAATGTGAAATATTAATATTGTCATGATGACTCAGAGGTACCTATAAGACGCCGAAACCTACCAGCCGCAAGTACCAATGTGCCTTTTCAGAGTTCCATGTACTTTATAAGATTATTTAGATACCAGTGACCTGAGTGAATGTTAAACTGAAATCCAGTTATGACATCTCCTCCTCGTATTTGTTACATACCACTAATAAAACGGTGAAAACATCGTGAGGAAACCTGGGCTTATAATATAACATACAACATCACGCCTTTTATCCCCGAAAGGGTAGGCGGAGGTGCACATTACGGCACTTAAAATGCCACTGTACAATATAAAACCCACTTTTCACTATTTATGTTATAAATCCTATGTAATAGGGGGTGAGCCTATTGCCATATACCGGACATAATTCCAGACTCCGTGCTACTACTGAGATTTGGAAAAACAACCAGTAATACTTAGCCAGACCCGGTAATTGAACCCAAGACTCCTTGTCCAGCATCGATTGCTGGCTGCTTGGCCTTATAATTTCTAATTATAAGTTGAAATCTCCAATCAGCATTGAGCAAACTTGGTGACAGACCTTCTCCGTGCAAGAAGAAGTCTTTGGTCAGCAGTGGCCACTTATAGGCTGTTAATCTGTGTGTTGTATTGATATTAAAATGTAGTTGAATTCTTTCTAGGTGTTATTGTAATGGAAGTTAGTGATGAAAAAATTGAAATCAGTGATGATAATATTGAAGACACTTCAGCAGTCGAGGAAACTAAGAGTGCAGGAACTTCCAATGTATTAGTAGATCTTGGTAAGTGTTTCTTGGAATTTAAGTAGTCTATTGTTATCATACAGGGTGTCCCTGAAGTCGACGATCAAATGGCGCCGGGCGATCGGCAAGGTTCGAACAGTCTTCAGAAAAATATATAAAAATTCCAAGTCATGTAGTTTTAAAGTTACAAAAAAAATTGATTTTAATTTACAATTTCATTTATTTCTTTCACAGTAATCTTAGGATAATCATGAAACTGAAATAGTTGATTTTGATTTAGATAATAATTTCCGATTAATTGGAATATGGAAATTTGTTTTAGGTATTTCAGAATCAAGTAAAAATAAAAATTATGTTGAAGAAAATCTATCAATGAACACAGACCTACAGGATATAAATCACTTACAACAAAACCATTCAATGTACAGTTTTGTGAGCAAAATAGAGAAAATGAGTAACAGGCAAATGAAACCCAGCAACTCAGAAAATATCCAAACGTATTTCGAGAATATTCCTGACCTATCAAAGCAGCGTGTGTTCGCCATAAACGTGCCTGATCAAAAGTTCATACCGAAAAATGTCTTTGTTAATAAACAAAATTATGTATTGGATATGCAGAATATAAAAGCAAGGTCACGACGCTCCGCTTCATCCGACGCTTCTTACTCGAGTTCCGACGAAGTCAATGGAAGAAATATCAGACGCATAAGAAGTGCTTCTGGAACCGAGCTATCTCAAAATCAACCGTTTTTCCCGAACATGCGTTTCCCCAGGTATCAATTCAGACCTTACGGGTTTTGGCGCCCACAAAACAACATTAATTTTTACCAACTTATGTTTTTCCAAACACGTTTTCAATATAATCAGAGACCACCTCCTTTTGTAAGATCCCCTTTAGAATTTATTCCTAACGTAAGTAACGCTAGAAAACGCATAAGACTTGCTAACATGGCGCATTTCCAAGCTATAAGAAATGCAGCTGTGCGGCTAAAGCAAAGTCTTATCTCTGGTATCACTGACATGCGCAAACTTGAAGAGCTACACAACATATTACACTCTTACAACATGAGATACAAAGCTAGATTACGATTAAGTGAAAATTTCGACGTAATCAATGATGAGAAAATTGTTGAGACAATAGAGTTGGATGACGATGAAGAATCAAAAAGTAAAAAGCCAAGGCTAGATGATGGTGATGATAAATTTAATGAGAATCTGTATAGACTGAGACAGTTGGCTCTGAGACTGAGAGAACTGGAAGCCAAGAACAAAGCGACAGCTTCTCATAGGCGAGCATTCTCCAAAGCAATCAAAACATTCAATCAGTCTTACAAAGCAGATATTTATTTAGATAGTAATAATTATGAAATTATTGATAGGAAATGTATAACACTTGATTCTAGTTCAGAATCCGACTGTGTGGTTAAAGAAGCACCTGCGCCAAAAAAAAGGAAAAAATTAAGAAATCCGTTCAATATTTTAAAACGACGCTCTGAGAAGTTGTTGGCCCTTAATGGACCAAGTACAAGTCGGACCGAACATATGTTCGAAATTAGTTTACCGGACTCAGCTCTAGTAAAGGAAAGAGAAGAAAATAAGACATATAGTGAACATATACTTAAAACATTTAATGGAAAATGGCTGCCAGAAGAAGATGATTTCGGAAGGGCTGAAATTGTATCTAAATTCGATATGAACACGCGCCTTTTAGTTAACAGCAAAGAACAATATTTACACGAATTTATGAAAGAGCAATTTGATCAATACTCTAACTGGTTAGAGGCTAAAATATCCTTTCTTAAGTATTTAGAAGACACTAATATTGCAATCAGTAATGAACGGGAACGACTGTTAGCTGACGCAGAAGTAAATACGGGTTTAAAACCTTTAATAGATTTTGAGGACATTTCAGACATGTCGAAAGCACTAGAAAAACTAAGAATTATAGGAAATAATCAAGACACAAACAGTGAAACTAGTCTGGAAGTAGATTTTGATGTATATAATAGAGATGTACAGAATTATAGGAAAAGAAAACCACCAAAGCCCCATTTCAGAATTGTTTGTTTAGAGTAAGTATTTCTTTTTATATGTATGACCCTTTTTGAAATAGGTACTTCATAAATATCCTCATTGTGTATCCTTGTAAATATTCCATGTTGTCCGTTTCAGCGAATCAGTAGGAGTTCCACCAGCGCCGCATGTGATGGCCCTGCATTCAAAATACAAGGACGAGGTACCTATCGTGTTTGCAGTAGTTGGTCTAGGATCTGTCTCCTACATACAACTCAACCCTATAGACTTGCCTATATATGTTCCAAGCAATGATTTAGTATAAGCATAGCAGTATGCTGTATATTATGTACAAATGTAAACTAAATATTGATACAAATTGTAACAAAATTTGATTGCTTTTTTATCGTTTTGCTTCCATATAGATGAGTAGCAGTTTCTTGTAAAGACTTATTATACATTGTTGTGTATGACATGACAAGAAGTTTGACTTCTTACATTTTATTCTTTTTTAAAAATCATGTCTAAGCACAAATTGTATTATTTTCATGAAGTGTCTAGTAGTTCCAATAGGCCCCATTTCAATAAAACCACATAACAATCTCGACTATGTTATAGAGGTCCATTGCATTATTTTTTAAGAAAATCTTCGTGCATACACTGACACCAAAATTTTTCAACATTTTTTGACTAATTTTAACGTAAATATAGTATTTGATTTTATTGAGTTTATTGGGGGCAGAACCGTGTGGTTTTGCTATTGTAATCTACCGCATCTGATCCCGATAGTGGGGGCCATATTCCACTAAAAGAGTCTTCTTGGCCACAGCGCTTTTTTTTAATCTAAAAACTTTTTAGGGGCTTTTATCACTGATATGTCAGCCCCATCGTACTCTTTTCACATTACTTGACCTTTTCTTTACTCTAGAAAATTACTTGATTAATTGTTATTCGTGGAAGTCAAAATCAAATAGCATCACCTTTTCATAATCGCCGAAGATGGTACAGATAAAATGAATTGTATAATACCTATTGGTATAATCTTCGATTTGACCACAAAGTGAGCCACAGCACTTGTATGGTAGACTTGATAGGTCGAAGTGGAACTACCGGAACTTTCATTAATTTGAAATACTGTAAACAGGATGTACCTTATTTATTTAAAGTAAAACATTATTTGAATGCTATATATGTGTATTTATTGAAATAACTTTTAAAACAGCCTTATTATTACATAATTTGCTATCTAGGTACTCTAGTAAGCAGCTACATGGCACAAGTGATTTGGAGGGCTCAGTGCAAATATTCTTAATACTACGTCGCTTTATTTGACTAGAATTGATCCTCCTCACAAGAAAAAATAAGTTACATTAATTAAAAACTTAAAAGAAATCAATAATTTGGCTTCGTGTATCATTAACATAACATA